CAAATACCTGTACTTTCTACTTCTTACATGTTGAACACAAATACCTGTACTTTCTACTTCTTACATGTTAAACACAAATACCTGTACTTTCTACTTCTTACATGTTGAACCCAAATACCTGTACTTTCTACTTCTTACATGTTGAACACAAATACCTGTACTTTCTACTTCTTACATGTTAAACACAAATACCTGTACTTTCTACTTCTTACATGTTGAACACAAATACCTGTACTTTCTACTTCTTACATTTTGAACACAAATACCTGTACTTTCTACTTCTTACATGTTGAACACAAATACCTGTACTTTCTACTTCTTACATGTTAAACACAAATACCTGTACTTTCTACTTCTTACATGTTGAACACAAATACCTGTACTTTCTACTTCTTACATTTTGAACCCAAATACCTGTACTTTCTACTTCTTACATTTTGAACCCAAATACCTGTACTTTCTACTTCTTACATGTTGAACACAAATACCTGTACTTTCTACTTCTCACATTTCCCAAACAGACTGGTTCCTTTAGTTTGAATGTGTGTTTGGTGGCGTGATCATTATTATTTAGAGTCATTGCGTGCCTATTGATTTGAACACGATCCGTGTATCCATCATTTCCTGGTCTTCTCTAAAGAAGAGGGACCAATGAAAACGTTGTCATGTTGCCGTTGTTCAGCATGGAAACATTCATTAGCTAACAATGACATTATTGTTCTATTAATATAAAGGGAGGTCAGGTACTCTTTAAAACAGCTGCTAGTTATGGGTACTTTTTACTGAAGTACATTTCAAAGCCCTCTTTACTTTTACTTGAGTAAAGAAGTTCAGTCAGTACTTCTACTTTCACCAGGGTATTTTTAAACACGAGTATCTGTACTTCTACTCTCTCTGTTCCTACCTGGGGTCCGGTCTCCAGCAGGAACACCTTGGTCTTCTTGGAGATGGATGTGTGTTGGTAATACTCCACCAGCTGGTTGAGGGAGGAGAATCTCTCAGACCAGAGGTAGTACTGCCCCCTGCTGTCCCGCATCACCTTAAAGTGCTGCACAGCTGCCTCTAATCTACAGGGGAGGACACACACAATCAAATACTAGTATTACAAGTCTTTGAAATGCTTTTTTCCTGTCATAGCAGCACAATATATATATTTAAAAACATTTTCTCCAAAAAGTGTTTTTATTTAGAAAACGTTTTTTGCAGTCGTAAAACATTATACAATTTATTTTCTTTATTAAATTACGAGAATTTAAATGGAATTTAAAGAAAAACTCGTAACTATGGGATAAAAAGTCATAATTAAGATATAATAATGATTAAATTCATATTTATGAAATAACAAATTGTAAATGATGAGATAAAAAGTCAAAAATATGAGATGACAGTCCTAATCATGAGATTATTATAAAATATAAAGACATAATTTCGAAATAGAAAAGTCAAAATTAGGATAAAAAAGTCATGAAAATTAAATGGAAAAGTCTATTTCACGAGAGAAAGTTCACAACCAGGAGTAGTAGTCAAAATATTGGGAACAGTTTCTAACTTTTTTGAGATATTTTCGACTTTAACAGGATGTTTGTCTCCTTCTCAGGGATGGAACAGGGCTAACATAATACTCTGCGTTAACCAGAACCGTAAAACCTTTTCTTCGGCTGTGAGCAGTCACAACACTCACAGATTTGCTCATTGTTAACAGTCTCCATGTTTCAGCCGGCTCTATATATGAATATGAAGCACCTGACGGAGATGGAGAAGTCTCCATGATCTGTCTTTCGGCTCCCCCGGATCACGAAGGCCCCGACAGGTTTCTTCACCAGCTGCTCTTCTGCGTCAACTCGACTACAGTCCTCCTGGTACCAGCTAGAGAGGAGAGAAGTACATCCTTTACTCAAGTAGAAGTACAGATACTCGTGTTTAAAAATACTCTGGTAAAAGTAGAAGTACTGACTAAACTTCTTTACTCAAGTCAAAGTAAAGAGGGCTTTGAAATGTACTTCAGTAAAAAGTACCCATAACTAGCAGCTGTTTTAAAGAGTACCTGACCTCCCTTTATATTAATAGAACAATAATGTCATTGTTAGCTAATGAATGTTTCCATGCTGAACAACGGCAACATGACAACGTTTTCATTGGTCCCTCTTCTTTAGAGAAGACCAGAGGCCTGTACTACGAAGCTGGTTCAACCTGACCTGGATATGTTTGAGTTAGCCGGTTGGCCCAATCCAAAACATACGCGCTCTGGCTAAACTGTACTACGACGCTGGTTATCAAGTGGATCGCTCAAGCCAGCCGTGTCCTATCTAGTTAGGTGCGCATTCACATGAAAGAGGTGGTATTTGGAGCATTCCACCAATCACAAACATGGACAAGCGTACTGACAGCACAGCGTCATACTTCCTGAATGAAAAGTAAACTTTAATATTAGTCAAATATGAAGAAGTTAAACTTTGAACATCCATGACTTAAACACTTTATCCAGGATCAAAGCCACATAGCTGCACCTGCAAGGTGAATACAGCTGGTAAAAGAAAAAGTGTTTGAATGCGTACATTAACAGGTTTATGAAATCACTGCCCCGTCCAAGACACGAGTGGATCTGATTTTAATTACATTTGACTCGAGTGTTTCGTCAACTTAATGTGTTGCTTAAAATAATACTTCTGCATACAGTATGTGACACTGTGAGTGTTGCACGGCCAGATACGGCTCAGCTGACTCAGATAAGGAAATATATGATACATTATGATGTGATATGATATGAATGATAATGGGACACATCGCCGTCTGCACTCACAGTGCCGCGGACTGTACGTAATGTTACTCTGATCCGGTTACTTATGTTGTGGCAGATATTTAAGTAAGCTTTCTTAACGCTAATATTATAATAGTCAGATTGCTCTGAAGATGGGAGGTGATATTCTATTAATGTTCACGTTCACACAGTCTGTGATTTTTGCTGGCCGTCTTTCCTGCAACGGCAGTTTTTCTGTATTTCCTCTATCCTGTAATATGACTTGATCGCTTTAAACTCCGCACACTGAGCTCTGATTGGTCAGCAGGCGGTGCTTTCACTGAGTTGATCTCTTAGCCTGCCACCTAACCTGCTCCAGAGGAGGTTAGCCGCTCAGCATAAGTTACCATGGAGATCTAGCCCGCTAAAAAGAGAACCAGCGTCGTAGGACCGGAAACCCAGAGTTAACCCTGAAGTTAGCTCGCTAAGCGAAAATCCGGCTTCGTAGTACAGGCCTCTGCAATGATGGCATTGGACGCTTTTGTTATTGTCTGTCTTTTTTACATGTATTTATTTTAACCTGTTAAGCCCTGAGCCTGTTTTTCAGGTCTCAGGCTCGAAAATGACATTCCCAGAACAAATGACCATATCTTCCCTTCTAAAAGGGTTAAATTAATAATCTTTATTCTCAAAGTAATGATAAATCTGTGAGTTGGATGTAGAAGAGTCAGAATCAATATAGATGTTTTTATTTTAAAGTAAATTCAGATTGAACATAGTAAGAAAATGTAAATTATAGTGTCTGTCCAAAAGAAAATCATTTCTTACTGTATAGTGAAAACCACCCTTGGATGATGGGTTAGTAGACTAAAAGCTTTAGGAATCCAAAGTACAACATATAATAAGTACCCTGTATCAAGATTGATGCAAAACAAGTGACATTTGACCTTTTTGGAGAGATTTAGCCAAAAGAAACCACTTCTGGGGTCATTTGGGTGGATTTTCCATATCTCTGGCCCCCCTTGCTCGATTTTGATGGTTGACACCTCTTTCTGACCGTTAGAGCCAATAGAATCGAAGGGGGAGTTCCTAAAATCCATCTAAACATTACCCATTGGTGAATGAGAGTGATGCGTAGCCAGAATGCCCCGGAACCGGAAGCTGTTATACAATCTCGTAGCAGCTATATATGAAATCTCCGTTATTGACATAAAAATGGAATGATGGATTATCAGTAATCATTTCAAAGTGACACAGACACATTGGATTAACCTTCAGCTGCGTTTTTATCCTTTTAATGCCATTGAACACAACTTTTGATCAGAAAACAACATAGGTAAGACGTTTGTTGTTGTTGTTTGTTGTCGTTTCGCCGCGAGTTCTGATCGCTCAGTGATGATACTTATATGTCTAGAATCTGTGGAATCTCAGCTTGCTAATATCTTGTCTGTGCAGATCCGATAAGTAACCGGGGGTATGGGGCTTAGCGTGAATCTCGTATCTCCAGTTGTCCTCTATCTCAAAAATGTTTCCTTTCATGTGAATATATTGATATTGAAGTGACTGTTATTTTGTATATAGATTGTTGTGCTTTTATTTAGGTCTTAATGTGTGCATATGTATAAATGTGTCTGTTGATTGTGTATAGGATATACATATTTGTATATATAGTTCAGTGTTTCCCCTAGGTTTACTGCTTTGGGGGGGTGCTGCCTGTGCGGGGGGGGGGGGGGGGTATTGGGATATATATTTTTGTTATTGATTAATGCATCAGTGTTTCTTAGGGTCAAAAACACTAAACTCACAACTTAAAATGAAAGCGTTTAGTTTATTAAATAAAAGAGCACATGTTCAATGTGAAAAGTGACAGTAGATATAGATTAGTTGCAATTTGGTGCTATATATATATATATATATATATCTATATATGAAAAAAGAATTATAAGAAAAAAGAAAAAAAATTATAATTAGTTTTTTTTAAACACCTTGAATTTCAGGGGGGGCGCGGGGCTCCGTTGGCGGGGCTCAAAGACAATGGTAGGGGAAACACTGTAGTTGTATTTTTGTGTTGGGGATTGTGGGAAATGGTATTTCGATCTCTCTGTCTGTACACACAAACTGAAAGGTTGACTTTGACTTTGAATATGACTTTAACCTCTTGTCTGTTTTAGTTACAAGTACACAAAGTATTTCTGCATCTCTTTATAAATGACTCCTTCATTTTCTCCTTGGTTTTACCTGGGCAGGTGAATGTTGAGGAAGTTTTTGGCCACGGAGCCCACAAACCCGTTGAGTTCGGCTTTGAACCAGTTTCCAGAGGTCTGCACGACCTGACACACGTTAGAGACACATTATCATCAAATGAAGTCACATAGAGGTGAACGTGCCACACAGCATGCTTCATCACGTGGTGTTAAGTTCTATACATGAAAGTAGAAACGTCAACATATTTATTTATATATACTCGTAGCTCACATTGTGTGTCTGTAGTGTGTGAAAGGACTTGTGGTTTGTTCTTATGTTTTGTTGTTACATAATACGCTAAAGGGGGTTTCCGCAAGAAGCTAAACTAACCACCTCAGGTCAGTTTGTTTCCCACTAACCCTTAACTTGCTCTGTGTATTACACACTATCTAATATCTGAATGCATTTCTTTATCAAGGATTTCCTTTCCTAAGGGTTACCATTTAGAATACCGTAAATACCACAATTACTATTACAGAAGAAAATCATGTTATTCCTTCATCGCTTTCTTTCCGCCCTTCATCCTTTCTTCCCTTCATTCCTACATCCTTTCCTCCCTACATCACTTCGACAATTCATCCTTTCATCCCTTCATCCTTTCATCCCTTCATTCCTACATCCTTCCATAGCTCCCTCCCTCACTTCCTTGATCTCTTTCACCATACATCCCTTCATCCCTCCCTCCCTAACTCCATCCTTTCCTTCATCCATCCCTCCTTCCCAATATCCCTTTGACCCTTCATCCCTCCCTCCCTCCCTACATCCATTCCTCCTTCCCTCCCTTCATCCCTCCTTCTCTTAATCCATTCATCCCTACTTCCCTACATTCATTCATCCCTTCCTTTCCAGACCCCTTCCTCCCTTACCTCATCCTTCCCTTTATCCATCAATGCCTCCTAACCCACATCCTTTCCTTTCTATATCCCTTCACCCCCCTAATCACCACATCCCTACCTTGCTGCGAAAAGTCACAATATTTGCTATTTACTTTTATATTTGTGTTTCACTTCTATGCTGATGCCCAACAGATGAAACAGTTCAGTGACTGTCACGGGAAATAGGAAATCCATTTGTATGTTTCTGCTTTTCACAACACATTTACATACCCTGCGATTAATAAATGCTGCAGTGACACGCTCATGCAAACACTGCTGTTCACACGCTGCATGAAAGAATGTCCGCACATGTAGAGGCAGAAGATTTACATGAAAACAATGCGAGCATCATTTCAGATGTGCACAATTTGCATGCTTTTTACACGGAGAGATATTCATACGTTAAAAAACGGAAACAACTCGGAGAAGGAGACACATTGAAGTGTCTTCTATGGTGTGTGTGTGTGTGTGTGTCTTACGTTCAACTGCTCTCCCTTTATAAAGCTGAGTTCATCTGAAGCCTTAGTTTCATAGTCGAACCTGGCGATGGCTTCCATGGTTAAAAAGCTGAAAGGGTTAACAAAGAAAAATATAAAGTAATGGCATTTTATGTGCAGGTGTATCTGTATCTTTTATTATTTGTTAGCCCCGAGCCTGTTTTTCAGGTTTCAGGCTCGAAAATGACATGCCCAAAACAAATGACTACAACTTCACTTCTAAAAGGGTTATATGAATAATTTCTTTTATCAAAGCAAGGTTACATCTGTGAGTTGGATGTAGAAGTGTCAGAATCAATATAGATTTTTCTCAGTCAGAGTAAATTCAGATGGAACATAGTAAAAAAGGTAAATTCTTACCTCCCGCCTAAAGAAAAAAACATTACTTATAGTGAAAACCACCCTTGAATGATGGGATGGTAGACTAAAAGCTTTAGGAATCCAAACTATAACATATAATAAGTACCCTGTATCAAGATTGAGGCAAAACAAGTTAAATTTGACCTTTTTAGAGAGGTTTAGAAAAAAAAGGTTCCAGGCGGAATAAGCTTTCGGCACATTTCGGTACATCTGGTTCCATCAGTGCCATTTGACCTTTTTCAGGTACCAGACTATAAAAATGATTACATTGAATTATCACCATAGGTATTCATTCCATCCAAAGAAAAACAATTAATAAAAAATGGGGCTTAACAGGTTAATGTTCCTATATGTTGAAAGTAAAAACAAGCAATAAAGGTAACGACAATATATATGTAAAAATACAAATGTGCAATAAAAGGATAACATTAAATACAATTACAAAAATATATTTATATAATTGTGAAAGTGTGCGATAAAAGCTTAAAATAAAGAAGAATTCAAACATTTTATATGAACAAAGGAAGTTAAAGTAAAAACGTGCAGTAAAAGATAGAATAATATTTATAAAAATCAATAGAAGTTTAAGTAAACATTTGAACATTGTATTTAGCAATGTCAAATAAATATCGAAATGATGTATTTTACAATATTTTAGTACATTTTTTTTCAAAGTCAGCCCAAATGTGTGTGTGTGTGTGTGTGTGTGTGTGTATGTGTGTGTGTGTCTCGGTGAAGATAAAGAGACGTTGTGTTACTCACCATGTATGAGCGTGTTATCCTGCAGAGTTCAGCAAGAGAAGTGAGGATCTCCTGTTGTCAGCTCACAGGAAGCTGTCACGCTGCTGCTCACACACATTCTCACTGCTGACTGTTTACACACACACACACACACACACACACACACACACACACAGAAATAGAAATGCAAAACACACAAATAGGCACGTGAACTTTCATGCATCACATATACATAGAGCAGCAGATACACTGTTTTATTTTTAACACACACTGAACATATTCAGAAGTATTACCAACCCTCGCTGTTGCCTAAAGGCCCTAAACGATGCTCAATATTCAATTTAAACTATGCTGTACTTTGGACAAAATGTTATTAATTTCACATATAATCATTTTGTGAAACCACAAACTAAGCTAATGTCTCCAGAATTAGCTAGTGTATAACAGTTGTGCTTAAAAAGAGCCCTATTCTGCTCATTTCCAGGTTCATATTTTCTGTCTATTTACAGCCCCTAAACACAAACACACCTCTTTCATAAATAACACACTTGTTCTGCAATAATAGGTTTTATGTTTCCTGTAATTTTTGTTAGGAAAGGACATGCCTGAAAGACACGACTCAACATTTTCTCCTTCTCTGAGGGTCAAGAAGAACATCCAAGAGGGAAATTAAAAGCTGATGTTATGAGATGTTAAGACCAATACAGGACATTCACTAAGAAACTACTTTTATTGTGAAGTCAGCTGATCGAATGCACCTATTTCCACATCTACACTCCATCAGCTGATTATTTCTATTTGCCTCACTTTATGAGCTTCACAACATGTACCTTGTACCGCAGAGTTTGCAACGCAAATAAATGGGGCCAATCTTCAGTCAGATGTGAATGTGTAATCTAACATTTTCAGTAAGAATAATGGACAAAAGGAGTGCAAATACAAATTCAATTTATTGAAATCTGAACCAAAAGTGAATCAAACATGTTTTAAATAAAAAAGCACATATGGACAGAAGGTGTAAACCTATTAAATGTATAAGTAAACACATTTAGTCAAATAAAGTGACAGACAAGGCCTGTGCAGTTGGTATCAGCTATGCCCAGCATGGGCTCCTCCATCAGGTCTGGTCCTCCTCACAGAGGAAAGACCCTCAGTCCTCTCCAAACCAACAGACTGGACGTCCATCACACGGAGGTTTCTCCCTGAAGTCTCTGCAGCTCTCTGGACACCACGCTGTCTCAATCCGTCCACACTGAATATGAGAGGGGAAAAATGAAAATAATAAATGCTTTAGACAATAAGAAATATAAAGTTGACTGTTGAGTTGCTCAGTTTTTTTAGATTGTCAATACTATTACTGTATAACTAATATCTCAGGTTAAGAGGCACCTTCAAATAAAGATTGGTCTTTAAATACATTTTGTCTTTTGAATTGTTTGTCAAAAGTCAAGGATCTAGAACTGGTACTTGTAGTTTTAATGATACAGTCTGGTTATAATGCTGTTTGGAGGAGGCCTCACAGGTAAGAGCACTAACTAGCTATCATGTACCTTAGCTTAACTTAAATGTATTAAACGTATAATTAAGTGATAGCAAAATATAAATAACTAATGTCATGCAAACATATTAATTTGCTTGATTCCAGTGTTGCATTTAGCACATTGCATACAAACGTTAAGGGATTTTAAGATTCTGAAGTATTATGCTAAAAACTCAATAACTTAGATTATTATTTATAGTTTTGCTGAATAGTTTCATGTCCGCTTACCTTAGAAACGTAAAATGTGACGGCAGTGTGCAGATAGGGAAGCATGTTAGCTTAGCTTCTTAGCTTGAGCTAGCTCTGTTACTTCCCAGCTGGAGGCAGAAGGTCCCGCCTCGGCTCCGCCTCTTTGCCCTTATTTGGAGCAGGCTGGAGCAGGCGGGAGTTAGACTCAGACGTCACTGTCGAGCCGTTAGTGGCCGACTCCGCCCTACTAAGGGCTTCTCGGCAACTCTGCAGAATCCTATGGGTGACGTCACGGACCCTACGTCCATTTATATATACAGTCTATGGTTGGAGCACTAGCCAATAGGAGCGCGAGTGTTACATAGCTTTATTCTCAACATTTCCACTTTTCTCTCAACATACAGTATCTACGTGATCTCAAAATGTCCTCTTCATCCTTGACATCGTTGTTTCTTTACCCCATAGGACAGAGCCCCGCTATTGATATCATTATTATACCTTTTCACATTTATACTTACGAATATATAGGTAACACACACCATCTCTGAGTCAAACACGCTCAAGTCATCAGCAGATGCACTGGGATTGCATCAACCATTGGTGACTAATAAGGCCAAATCTATTAGAGGAACTACACTTCCTGTTTTAGGAAGTGTAGTTCCTCTAATAGATTTGGCCTGCTATGATGTTCTTTTAATTGAGTTTAAACGTTTCTCAGTAGGGAGACATTTCAGTTGTGGTTTGCTGAACTTGTTCTCTTGGGTGGAGCTGCTGCTGTTCTGCAGTTTACGGTGCACATTAACAATGTCTGATTATTAGGTGTGACTTTATTCTCAAACATCCTGAACGCAATCACTACAGATTATCAAAGACCCCCATCACCCCAGCCACAAACTGTTCTTTCTGTTGCCGTCTGGCAGACGTTACCGCAGCATCCTGGCAAGGACAAGAAGATTCGGAGACAGTTGCTTCCCGCGGGCAGTGAGACTGTTAAAAAATTGAACTGTTGAAACAACTTCAAACATTCATCTGCTACTCAGTAGTATGTATCTAATACCTAATATATATATATCATTCCAATAACTTGTATATAGACTCGTACTGCACTATTCCACATCATCACTTTATTTTATAACTATTTTTTCTTTTTGTATTGCTCTTGCTCTTATTGTTATTATGTTATTATGTTGCATTGTTGGAGAAGCATGTGACATAAGATTTTCAACTACATAATTACTCTGTAGCTATGTCAGATTGACAATAAAGAACCTTGAACCTTGAACGCAGTCCAGGCAAACACCTGCAACTCACTTTAAAATGTTTAAAATGGAGATTATTACACACTGAGAAACATATGCATTCAACACTTTAGCTTCCAGTAGATTGTGATAGTAGATTGTAGGGTGTTGGACTTTTAATAACTTAACTTCACCCTAATTGCTCTGTATTTTCAGCACACTTAAAGAGGGAATTGAGTGCTTTAACACCAAGATACTGACTGCTCTGTCACGGCAAGAGCAGCTTTTATTTCGGTCGGTTTGACGGCTGAGAGGAACGACACCAAACTCAAGTAGCATGAAATCCCAGCACTGAAGTGTGAAGAGATCTGTCTCAGCCTTGAAAGAGCTCTGAGAGGAGTGACAATATAATGTGAGGTACCCACAGGACTAAAGCTCAGATTTGATATAAAGTACATGGAGAGATGTTGTGGAATCAGCCTAATGCTTGGAGAGTGGACAGAAACACTGTTTAGGTCCAGTGGGGCCTTTAAGTGGATTCATGAACATGTGATGGACAGAGTAGAGAGAGAAAAAGGAAATAGTGGTGCAGGGGCGACATGTTTTTAGAGGACGACCCTGAAGGCAGCATCTTCCTGGTTCAATGGGATTTCTCCATGTGATTTTGGAATATTGTAGAAAACAATCTCTGTGGTGAAGAAACATTTATGATACTCACACGTTTTGTTCAGCAGGATATTCTCCACATATTAACAACACTTTATGATTTCTGAAGTAAATAGCTAACGTTGGGCTATAAAGGAACTACAGCACGCTCACATGACTTCACGTCACCACCGCTAAGCTAAAGGTGGCTAATGTTGGACTATAAAGGAACTACAGCACGGTCAAATAATTCACGACACCACGGCTAAGCTAAAGGTGGCTAATGTTGGGCTATAAACGAACTACAACAAGGTCACATGACTTCACGACACCACCGCTAAGCTAAAGGAGGCTAATGTTGGGCTATAAAGGAACTACAGCACGGTCAAATAATCCACGACACCACGGCTAAGCTAAAGGTGGCTAATGTTGAGCTATAAAGGAACTACAGCACGGTCAAATAATTCACGACACCACCACTAAGTTAAAGGTGGCTAATGTTGGGCTATAAAGGAACTACAACACGGTCACATGACTTCACGACACCACCGTTAAGCTAAAGGAGGCTAATGTTGGGCTATAAAGGAACTACAACACGGTCACATGACTTCACGACACCACCGTTAAGCTAAAGGTGGCTAATGTTGGGCTATAAAGGAACTACAGCATGGTCACATGACTTCACGACACCACGGCTAAGTTAAAGGGTGGCTAATGTTGGGCTATAAAGGAACTACAGCACGGTCACATGACTTCACGACACCACGGCTAAGCTAAAGGTGGCTAATGTTGGGCTATAAAGGAACTACAACACGGTCACATGACTTCACGACACCACCGTTAAGCTAAAGGAGGCTAATGTTGGGCTATAAAGGAACTACAGCACGGTCACATGACTTCACGACGCCACCGCTAAGCTAAAGGAGGCTAATGTTGGGCTATAAAGGAACTACAACACGGTCACATGACTTCACGTCACCACCGCTAAGCTAAAGGTGGCTAATGTTGGGCTATAAAGGAACTACAACACGGTCACATGACTTCACGACACCACCGTTAAGCTAAAGGAGGCTAATGTTGGGCTATAAAGGAACTACAGCACGGTCAAATAATTCACGACACCACCGCTAAGCTTAAAGGTGGCTAATGTTGGGCTACAAAGGAACTACAAACACGGTCACATGACTTCACGTCACCACCGCTAAGCTAAAGGTGGCTAATGTTGGGCTATAAAGGAACTACAGCACGGTCACATGACTTCACGACACCACCGCTAAGCTAAAGGAGGCTAATGTTGGGCTATAAAGAAACTACAGCACGGTCACATGACTTCACGACACCACCGCTAAGCTAAAGGTGGCTAATGTTGGGCTATAAAGGAACTACAGCACGGTCACATGACTTCACGACACCACCGCTAAGCTAAAGGTGGCT